CCTCCTACCCCATCCCAGGAGAAGGGTGTGTGTGCGTAGACCCAGGGTTAAGAATTGGAAGGCGAGTGGGGCGGGGGGACCCGCTCATTTGGCTCCGTAGTGTCTTACCCCTACCCTAAAATAAAATCTCAGGATGGAGGGAGCTTGTGTGCGCTGGGGGGCTGGGGGGCTGGAGGAGGGGGCAGGTGAGGTTAGTGGAAGGACGGTGCAAGAGTTACTTGTACAATTTACCCTCAAAATTAAATAACCGGACCCTGCTTCTTCTCACTCTTATGCTCCCCCTCCCAGCCATGGCCCCACACCAGGCGAGTTTTTCCCAATGGCGTGCGCAGCTCCCCAGCTCTCCCCGGTCGTCGCCGCCGCCGCCAGGCCCCAAGAGCTCAGCGTCGGTCCCCACCCCATCCCCCACCCCCACTCCGTCGCCGTCTCTGTCTCGTCTCCTCTAGGCTTCTCCGTCAGTCACGATAGCTCCTTCGCTGTCTAGGCCAAACTCTGGGCGAGAGGGAAGAGACGCTGCAGGGGGGAGGCCAGAGGGGACGGGGAGGGGCAAGGCTGGGGGAGGAGGCTCCCGCTGGCGCGCCCAGCGGAAAAGCACTAGCCGGTGAGCACCCCAACCCCTTTGCCAGAGGCATCTAGGAGAGGCTGCGCTCCGGGCTTTTAGGGGGTTTGGCCAAGCCGGAGCTCTGGCATCTGCGAACCCAGGGGGCAGTGGCCTGCGGTCGGCGGAGCCTGGGAATTTCGGGAGAGAGTGTGGAATGGGCTATGGGGTTGCTGATCCGGGGTGGGGAAGGTGGCAGGCAGGGCCAGAGGAGTGGATGCTTGTCCCCGCTCCCCACGAAAAACTTGCGCCCGGAGCCACGATCTCTCAGCCTCCTTGATGCCCGTCTCCCTCCCCCACCCCAGGTTGTTCCGGTTTCCCTGCATGAGCTCATCCCACAGCTGGGGAGCCAGCCCGGTGGCCCGAGGCAGCGAGCTTCCTCACCATCGCCGGCCCCATCCCCACCCCCAACACACTTGGTTCCTTGCCCCTCCCCAAGCTGCTTCGCTGGGTGCCAAGAACCGACCGAAGCAGCCAGAACTTCACAGTGAAAGGCCTGCTTTATGTCTCTGGGGCAGCGTGGGGAGGGGGTTTGTCTCTTCCCGTTGTCCAGGCCCAGCCCCCAAAAGAGAGGGCTCAGCCAGCCAAGACTGGCCTAGCCCCGGCCTTCCCACCAGCGCTGGAGAGGAGAGAGGGACTGGCTGAGCCAGAAGTGGGTAGTGGCCTTAGGGGAACAGTTGGTGGGGCCTTCCCCCTCTCCTGCAGGGTGGGGTTCTCCTCCAGAGAAAAGAGCTGGCAGAGATGCCCAGCCCTCCCCTGCAGCCCACAGCTGAGCAGAAGAGAGTGTGGGCTGCTCTGTAATTCTGGGACTCCAGGCCAGTGGACTTCCCCCATCCCCTCTCAGCCCCAAAACTTTGCTCTGTGGCGGCAACAGCAGCTGATGTTTACCCCGAAACCCGCCTGGCAAAAGGAACATTTGTCATCCTTCTCCCTGGGCACTGTAGACGGCAGGGCACCCGTTTTATCCCTGTAACTGGCCCAGTTAATCACTTCCCCCACCATTCGTGCACCTCTCTGATCTATTGGAGTCTACATGCATTTACTGAGGCCTCCTGGGCGCTGGGCCCTGCGCCAGCCTGTACTATGGGCAATCCAGAGGTGTAAAATGTGTGGTCCAGCTCAGGAGGATGTGGGGCAGAGACAGAAACCCCCGGACAACCCATACAGGCCGTGGTAATCACTGACAGAAGGGGCATGTTACAGAGACATATGAAGACAGTAAGCTTTCCTTGGACTCAGGTGATTGGAAGGCTAATTTAAGGAGAGAAGTAGGATTTTGGCCAGACCCTGAGGGCTGGATGGAGATGTTGATAAGGTGAAGATTGATTTACTCAACAAATATGTATGGAGCATCATTACGTGCCGGACCCTGTGGTAGATAATGAATACACACCCAAGTGAACAGTCCTGCCTTGAAGAAGGCAAGTGATAAATAAACACACATATATATATATAAAGTTAATAAATTAAGGATGCTATTAAGGACAAATTTATGGTACTATGAGAAGGAATTCTGGGGCATACCTTAAATAGGTGGTCTGGGAAGGCCTTTCTGAGGTGGTGACCTTGAAGACGAGAGGGAAAATTAAGCAAGACAGCCATGCAAAGAGTTGGGGAAAGGGCATTTGGTATGGAGAGCATGGGCTGGCCTTGAAAAGGAAGGGAGGGTGACCAGGAGAAGGAGGATGGGGCTGGATCAAGGTGATTGACAGGAGACACCCAGGAGGTGAGAGAGGGGACTGGCCAGAGCCAGATCATGCCAGGTCTCCTGGGGCATGGTGAGGAGTTTGGGTTCTCATCTCAGGCAGTGGGAAACAGGAAGCTAGTTTGCTAGAGCTGCTGCCATAACAAAGTACCACACACTGTGTGGCTTAAACACCAGAAGCTTACCGCCTCACAGTCCTGGAGGCTGGAAGTCCGAGATCAAGGTGTCCATTCTCCTTGACTTATAGATGGCCATCTTCTCCCTGTGTCTTCACCCTGTCCCCCCTCTCCCCTCTGTACCTGTGTGTGTCCAAATTTCCTCTTCTTATAAGGACACTAGTCATATGAGATTAAGGCCCACCCTAATCTCATTTTAACTTGAGTACTTCTTTAAACCCTGTCTTCAAATATAATCACATTCTGAGGCACTCAGGGTTAGACCTTCAACCTGTGAATTTTGGGGGAACGCAACCCAACCCGTAACAGGAGGGGAGGACTTTTCAGGTGGAGGAAGGAAAGAGCAAATGCATGACAGTCAGAATATGTATTTGAAGAGACACCTGGTAAGGCTGAGCATAGCGTGACTGCTTTAGCAGGGGATGGTCCAGAAAAGTGGACAGCTCTGACACCAGAGAGGTAGATTTTCATTTCTAGGAAACAGAAGCCAAGCCACACGGCCTGGCCTGGCATGTATTGTGACTTCTCTGTGGAAACAGATAGGAAGGGAAGGGGCAGGCAAAAGAGAGACAGCGTGGGAAGTTACTGCAATAATCTGAGCTGGAAGTGATGTGGGCAAAGGCAGAGATGGGGGCCCTGGGAACATTCGCAGGGCCAGGGAGAGGGGAGAAGCCAAGAGATGCTAACAGCCCTCTCCCCTATAGCCTAGGAGAGTGTGTCTCCCCAGACCTGGCTCCCTCCTTGCCTGCCCCCTTCATTCTCCCAGGAACAATAGGCGGCCATGGGTCAAGGTCTCTCCACAATACTACGTTGCAAAAAAACCCACTGCAGTATAGTGACTCGCCAAGATAAGCCTAATATCCAGGTAAGATCAGAGTTCATTTTAGAAAGAAAACAACGCCTGATGCTCTGGAGGACTCAGCCTGATTCAAGTAAGGACTGTAGACTGATACACTGAAATTTTCATTCTGACTCAAGAAGAAAATAAAAGAGCCTTCTAACACCACGAGAGAGAGAGAGAGATGGAAAAAGTAAGAGAGTAAATGGGATGCTCTAGCAATGAGGGCAGACATGGAGGCTGAGGGGCAAGCAGGACTACAGAGAGGAGCTACAGAGCAAACACGAAGGCTCAGAGGACAAGCCTGTGGTCTGAGTGGAGGGCAGAAATTTTAAAATCAGGAGCATGATCAGACAGAAGCTGGTATTTCCCAAGGGTGAGGCTGTCATGTAGAGATGAGAGTGATCTGCTTCCCAAGGAAAAAGTGACAGAAGGAGTTCAGGAAGAAAAAGCCCAGAACAAACTTCGGTGAGGCTGTGCACCTCCACAGCCACGAGGGAGAAGTGCGAAGGGCCCACAGTCTGGGCCATACCTCCAGTGCTACCGAATGCTGGGGCCACTGAATTCTGACGTCTTGCAGGAAACTCTCCATTTGTGAAACAAGGAAAGGGACAGAGCTCGCATCCGTGGCAAAAGAGGTCACATTTTCCCTCTGCTTCTCAGAGGCTACCATCTGCAGGAGGGGGCTATCATCTCTCCTTGACGTTCCTCCAATCAGCTATGCCGTCAGGCCTCCATGCCCTTACTCAGGCTCTTTCCTCTGACTGCAATACCATTCTCTCTCTCATCTGTGTGGAGTAAATGATTCCCAATCATCACTCAGCTCAAGTGTCACCTCCCCCAGATAGCCTTTCCTACCAGCCCACCCCCTACCTCCCCTCTGCTGGGTTAGATGCCCCTTGCAGCATGGGCAGCTAGCTGGACATCAAAAATGTATGCTTCCCTTCCCATAGCATAGAACAATGGTTCTCAACCAGGGGTGGTCGTGCGCCCCCACCGCAGAACACTTGGCAATGTCTGCAGACATTTTTGGTTGTCACAACTGGAGGGTGCTACTGGCATACAGGGTAGAGGCCAGGGACGCTGCTAAACATCCTACAATGCCCAGGGAAGCTCCCTTCCACCCCAAAGAAATATTCGGCCAAAAATGTCAGTAGTGCTGAATTATCACTGAGAAGGGGCTGCCCAGGCAGGACTGCATTTTCCAGTCCCCTTTGCAGTTGGGTGCAGTCCTAAGACAAAGTTCTAGCCAAAGGAATGTAAGTGGTGTGTGTCATTTTAAGGTTTATCCCATAAAATCCTCCCCCTCTTACTCCTCCATCTGTTGGCTAGATACAGAGCATTTGGGTCCCTAGGGGATGGCAGAGCCATGAGATGGAAGAAGCCTGGATCCCAAACCACCATGTGGAGGAAAGTCACCCACCAACCAGGGACGCCTGCATTGGACTGTAACATGAGAACTGACCTTTAACGACATCAAGTCACTGAAATATCGAGATGTGTTACAGCAGCCAGCAATACCCATATACACCCCTCCGTATTTTTCTGTAGTATCCTGTGCAGTCATTCGCTCACTCCTCACTCATTCATTCATTTGTTCATGCCACAAACATTAATCTGCATGCCAGGCTCTGTGCTAGGTGCCGAGGAAACATATACGAAAAGGAGGCAACATTACAGTGATCCCTGCCCTCAGGGGGTTCAGAGTTTATTGAGAAGAGAGTTAAACAGCAAAGCATAATTAATAACTCTGGGACAAATACAGGGTGTTATGGAAATGAGAAGGGCTCCTAGCTCAGCCTGGGGAGAGGGGCAGGTGAGAAGTGGCACTTTCCGGGAAGAAAGCAGTGTGGACAAATGCAGGGAGGGAGACACAGTGTGAAGAATCTGCAGCAGTCCGGGGTGGAGAGGAAGGGCGGGAGGGGCAATATAGTTCTCTTCTGCGACTCCCCGGTCTCTGTATAATTGATGGCTTTCTCATTTGTCTCCCCTAGTGGACTGGGAGCTCCTTATGGCAGAATCCTTCTGCTGAAGTGTCTCCTGAGTCCCTAGTGCCTGGACCGTGTCTGACATTCTCTCCTCTTGGATGTCCCACAGGACCCTCTGCCCCAGCCTGCTCACCACTGAACTCGCCCGCTTCTAAACCTTCACCTCAACCTGCCTCTCTGCTCAGTCCTCCACCTAAGGAAATGGTTTCCACATCCACCTGGTTCTGAGCCTCTTCCTCAGCCCCTACATCCAGGCAATCCCCAAGTCCTCTAAATTCTGCCTCCTTAACATCTCCCATGTCCTAACCAGTGCCCCCATTGTCTCTTTTTCCAGTTTCTGACAAAAACAGCCACATAACAGGTGCCCAGCTCTGCTCTGGCCCCATTCAGTGTGTCTTCCTCTTTGCCATCAGTTATCTTTTAAAACACTAACGTGATTTCACAGCTCTCCTGCCTTCCCGGGATGTTTTGCCATGGCCCACAGGGTGAAATCCCAGCTTTCTGCTAGACCCTCTCTACAAAAGCCTCCGTTACCTGCCCCTACCTGCCCCTCTAGCCTCCTGTTTCCACATGCCCCAGCCCCATGCTCCAGCCATTCAGAGGCACTTGTGCTCCCGCTTTCTCTCTCCTTTCTCTCTGGGCCTTTGTGCATGCTGCTGCCTCTCCTTGGAATGTTCTCCTCCTCCTTCTGTGTCTGGCCATCTCCTATTTGTCCTTCAAAATCCAGTCCAGGCTCAGCTCTTACAAGCAGTCTTCACCAGTGCCATTCAGAATGCCTGGTACATGGTGGGCACTCAGTAGATCTCTGCAGAATGGATGGATGGACAGATGGATGGATGCTTGAGTAGATGCTCAGTAATGTTTGTGGAATGGACCCAAAGGTGTCTTTCCTAGACTTCATTATCTGAGTTCCTTAAAGAAATGCCTTCTCTGAGTTATGATTTAATGTTATGCTCTCTGTCTTCAGAGAACCCTGATGTGAGAAACTGACCAACTTAATGGCATTTCTGTCTTTATGAAAACAGAATTGAATATATTGCCCACTATGTCACTCATGTCCTTTATACAAGGACTCATGATAAATTCATGCTTGGGGTTATTTCCAGGAAACATTTTGTCTCTGCAGATGAAGATGTGTATTTTCTGCTGTCAGAAAATAAAAACTCTGCCATCCAAAGTGTTTCCATTTTTTCTTTAGCTGACAAATAGGGATACCCACTTTTATTACCTTATTACCTCCAAGCGTTCTGACCAATTCAGGTGCCTGAAAGAAGCAACTCTTTCTGCTTTCTTTAGATGGAGTCAGCTCTTGCTTTATTCTTTGATGCTGTAATTTTTACTTTTTAATCTGAAAGCTGCTGCAAATCATCTCAGCAGTCAGATAAATCTTAAACGAATGCATATTGGTGACCAACATCCTGGCACGGAAATTTTGGAAGGAAGGGCAGAACACCAAGCTTCTAGTTGAGAGGGATCCCATATTGAGCCTCACCAGGAATTCTTGAGGTACCTATTAAGACAGGGATCTGGCAGGAAGGCCAAAGCAGGAAGCTGAAGGCCAACGGTATTCTGACTTTGTTGCTACCTTACTGGGCCACCACTGCCAAGTCATATTCTTTCTCTCCACCAACTATGGCCTTCTTTTTCCCTAACTTTAAATGGAGATGTCATAGGCTACCTTTTTTACATGAATAGCTAATAATGACAATAATCGGTATCTTTTACTGAGGGTACACCACGAGCCAGGCACTGTGCTGAGAACTTTGCGTGCATGTCCCTATTTGAAACTCTCCCCCTCTAAACCTATCTATTGTTTTTACCTCTTTGCAGATGATGAAATGCCAGAGAGGTTAAGCATGTGCAAAGCCACCCTTTAGTAAGTAGCAGAGCAGAAATTCAAATCCAAGTGTGTCAACTGCCACCGCCCAAGCTGTTAACAATCTCTTCACATGTGGGCAAGGAATGGAGGCAATAATAAAGGATGAAATCCCCTGGGAAATGGCAGGGATTGCTGATGGTGTTGCCAGGAGAGAGAAGCCACAGAATCACAGCTTTGCTTCTTGCACTCTCTGATGTCCTTTTCAAAGTCCTGGAAATGTCTGGCTGCTCTGTGGATGGGTTCAGTTGCTGGGACAACATCCAGGAGAGTCCCATTCTTGTGACACATGTCTGCACCCTCCTCTTCCTCCAATTCTGATGGTTTACCTGTCAAGAAATTTACCTGGACTCTCCCTGTGCATGGGCCTGCCTCCAGGCAGTTTGACCTATTTGGCATCATCAGCATGGTAATACAGGTCTCTATGGTTTTTAGGGACCTACAAAAAGTTTGAGGCCTGAAAATGTTTTTATTAGCTCCACAATACAAAGAAGAAAACTACAACATTGAAATCACTAAGTCATTAAATGCAAAATGTAACATTATGTCAACTTCATTAACTGTTGAAGTTAGTAGTCATAAAAATTTCATTAGATCTAATAACAATTTGTAGGTTGGAGTTTTCTCACTGTGTGAAATTTCCCAGGTAGGCCCCAAGATTGGTGGGAAATCATAGTTGACCATAAATTAAATAAATGACTTGAGGCAAAAAGTTTTCAAAAGCAAAATGGCAAAAATCCTTTCGATTTTCTTTTACAGCCAAGAAGTTATATTTATGGTGAGAGGTGGGTTGTTTGAAATACGTTAGGTGAAGGATAGGACCTGCAAGAGTAAACTGGCTTAGGGTCTATGAAGATCTTGAAAGAACACAGGCTGTGCCCACCTTTCTGAATTCTCCAATCTATCCATGTTTGCGTCATTGATGGAAGCCAGGTGAATAGACGTTTGGGCTGGTGAACAGGTAGGGAGAATTGCCTCCTCCTGAGGTTTTCTTGGTTCCAAACAGAAAAACAAGAATCCCAGAATCCTAAATAATGGTAGCTAATATTCATTGAGTACGTAACATGTGCCACACTAACTACTCTAAGCACTGTAGCATGCATTATCTCTGTTGTCACAAAACAACTCTATGAGGTCAGCATTTTATTATCTCTGTTTCACAGATGAGCAAACTGAGGCATAAAGATGTTAAACAACATGCCAAGGGTAACAGAGGAATTAAGGGGTAGTTGAAGAATTTGTACAAGCTAAAAACAATTCATAGATGAAAAGGTGTCCATTACCGTTAAATGCTTCACTTCCACCTCTGAAAAAGACACGGGACAAACCTGTCTTCCTCACTGTTCTGTCTTCAGCACCTTGGACAGGGCCAGGCACCCGGGTACACATGTGCAGGAGGAATATAACTACATGTTGTATGGAGACTGGAACAAGCTCAGTTTTTCCCACACCCACTATGTCACAAGCATTTATGGAATGCTTTGCTCCCTTCACTAGCTTGTGACAACGTCTAAGCTCGAGGTCTTATTCATCTCCCAGCCCTGAGCCTTGCACAATCTTAGCCCATGGTAGGTGCTCAAAAATGAACAACGCCTAGAAAGGCTTACTTGATGATTTGAGTTCATTCCTCGATCACAGAGCAATTTCCCTAGCACAGCTAAAGTTCTCCCTCCCTACACATAGCTCAAAAGCTGCTATTTAGAAACTCCTGTGGCACACATTTCAAAGTAATCACCGAGGAAACTAATATACAGCATTTTCATGTGTCTCTTATGTGCCGGCTGTTGTTGTAGGGACTTTCCATGTGTTAAGTAACTACTTAGTAATAGAACACCTACAATAATTCTACAAAGCAGATGTTCTTTATTACCATCCCATATTACAGATGAAGAGACCAAGTGTTATGAGCTGGATGGTGTCCCTCCAAATTCACACATTGAAGCGCTAACCCCCAGTACCTCAGAATGGGACTATATTTGGAGATAGGACCTTTAAAGTGTGGTTAAGGTAAAATGAGGTCTTTAGTAGGATGGGTCCTAATCCAATATGACTAGTGTCCCTATAAGAAGAGGAGATTAGAATACAGACAGGCATAGGAGGAAGACCATATGAAGTTGCAGGGAGAAGACAACCATCTATAAACCTATGAGAGAGGCCTCAGAAGGAGCTGACAACTTGATCTTGGGCTCCCAGCCTCCAGAAGTGTGAGGAAATGAATTTCTATTGTTTAAGCCCCTACGAAGTGTCAGCCCTAGCAAAGTGATACACCAAGGTACAGAGTACCTTGCCTTACCTGCATAACCTGAAAACATGAACTCAGAATTTGAACCCAGGTAGTCTGGCTCTGGAGTCTGTGTGTTTTGCAACAATGTGAATGTTCTCTGTGCTGTCCAAAATGGTAGCCACAAGCCACATGTGGCGCTTGAAATGTGGTTAATGTAACTAAAGAACTGACATTTTAATTTAATTTACATTAAAACACAATTAAAATTAAAATAGCCACATGTGGCTGGCAGTTACGATATTGACATAGCTTTATAATGTTTCTAAGGATTTCACTTAAGTTTCTTGCAGAATCTTCTAGAAGCTCAACTCTAAACCTCAGCTGTATGCTCCAAGAACCTTATTCCTATCTATATAACCTTATCTTTGTTCCCTATTCCTGCTGTATTTTATTTTTTTGCAATCCCTTCTAATTTAGACCCTGTCACCTGGTCTCCTGCTGAAGGGGAGAGAAAATGAAGGAGTGAGTGAACTGGCTAACTTTCCAGAATCCCGTGGCCTGGGCAGTGCAGGGGCTGCTCTAAGCACAGGTGTTAGCCAACCAAATGCCAAGCAGCACAAACACTGAGTGACATTTTCAGAACTATTAATATTTCATCAGAAATGATCACTTTTCCTTTAAATACACTACCTTAAAAGGTTTTCTACATTCTTAACTATAATTTTATTCAGTCTAAGTCCTCGGAATTTTCCCCAAAGGAACACATCTTCAATTTTATAATGAAAATCAAAGGGGAGTGAAGCTCAGACTTCAAAATTTAGAGTCAACATTTCTAGGGGCTCAGGTCCTTTATAAAGAGCAAGGTTGTGTATTGGGCACCTACTGTATACGAGACACTTCACATACAGTATACCGTTAATTCACCCAACACGTATTTACTGAGTGCCTACTATGTGCCAGAAATTTGATCTTCATAATAATTTAGTAGCACTATTTTACAGAATAGGGTTCCGTCTCATCCTCTTTCATCTCTAATGTTACCTCCTCAAAGAGGCCAGCCTGGAGGGCCTTCTAAAGCTCCTACTGCCCGCTCCCCACTGCCTTACTAGGTTGGTTAGTTTCCATCAGAGCCCTTATTTCATCTGAAATTATTGCCTATTTTCCTGCTTTGCTGGTCTGTGATATAGCTCCCTCCCTAGAATACAGGCTCCAGGAGAGCAGAGGGAGTTTGGTTCACCTTCCTGCTTCCTCAGTGCCCAGGAACTCACCTGGCCCATTGGATGGCTCAGTCAATGCTCGGCGAATGAATGAGCGAAGGAGGATGGAGAAGTTAAGAAAGTCGTCGGGGTCACACAGCTCACAAGTGGCAGTGTCAGTATTCAACCGTTCCTCTATAGACTGGCATTTCGTCTATCGGCGTCCGTTCTTCTCTCCCGTCCTCTTGCTCTTCCATTTCTGGGGAAACAGCGGAGGAATGACCACTGACTCCTGTGGCCAGAGAGTCCTGGGCAGGCGGCAGGTCAGGTCCGAGTTTAACGGAGCCCTTCCAGCGAGAGGAGGAGCCCACCGGGCAGCAAACAGGTATCTTAGCCCTTCTCTCTGCACGTCGGCCCTCGATCCCCACTCCCACCGCCAGCCGCCCACCCCCGGGGACCCGCTGAACGCTGCGCAGGAGGGAACGGCCTATCTCAGCGGCTGAGAGCGGGATCTGCCGTGGGGACGTGGGTTTGAATCCCAGCTCCCCCTTCCTAGTGGACCTTGGGCGCACCCCTTTAGGACTTTGAAACTCGGTTTCCTTAAATGAAGAACGATAATAAACAATGGTACTAACTTCCTCAGCTTGTTAGGATTGAGTATGACCACACAGAAAGCCCAGCGCTTGGCACACGGTAAGCACCTGGTGAAAACGGCAGTTAGGGGTAAAACCAGGCGATCGAGGGGCAGGGCTGAGGTTTGTGCGGAGTGGCCGTGGGGCGAGGCGGGGCGCGATGCCCACGGCTTCTAACAGGGGAAAGAGCTCTGGGGTCCTCCGGCTCCCCACCCCCACCCCAGGTCATCAGGGCCTGGGACACCGAACCTGGGGCGCCCCGCGCCCCGAGCCGTTGCAGTTGAAACCCACAGAAGGAATTCCAACGCTGGACGGGAAGGGTGTGGGAGCCACCGGCACGCAAATCGGCCCCAGCCGCCCTGCCCGGCCCGCCCCGCGGAGACAGCGCCCTTTTAAGGCATAGGGACCCTTCCCAGGCCGGTCCCAGACGGCGCTGGGTCCAGAGCCGACGCGCTCGCTCGGCGGCCTTCCTGCCTGGTCGGCCGAGCGGCGCTGGACAGGGCCCGGGAGGGGGATCCGGGCGGCCAGGAGGCCGGCGGGCCGGGGCGGGGACCGTTGGCCCTCGGAGTGCGCGGGGGTCCCCTGGGAAGGCCGAGTGAGAATCTAATGGAGGGCCCCGGCCCCCACCGTGCCTAGCACTGTGCCAGGTGCTCGCCCGGTCCTCCGCGAGGCTTAGCGGGCGAGAATGGGCTGAGCCCCAGGCGCCGCGGGCGTGTCGCAACGGGGGAGTGCCAGGGACCGTGGAGGGAGCCAGCCCTCCCCCTCCAGCTGTTCCCAGATGTCATTCTGCCCGTCCAGGCGCCTGGTTCCTGAGCTCAGGGGGATTCCACGGTTACTAAGCTACTGGTTTTTGTTGACTTTTAAATATTTTCTTCTAAGGGAGAAGGGGAGGGGGGCAAAAGTCAGGAAAGAGCAAATAAAAGCAAATCGAAATAAGCTCCCCTCCCCAAAGGAAAACTGCCCTCCATCCACCACTCACACACAAATCGAAGGCCTCTGGACATCGTCACCTTGCTGGAGCACCCGGCTTCTGCCCCATCTTCGTCTCCCTCTCTGGTGAATGAGGGCTGATGGTGGATGGTCCCCCTGTCTTCGAGCCCTGGGTGGACAAAGGGGCTTCCAGAAAGAGAGGAGGAGGATGGCCAGTGGAAATGGGCTCCCTTCATCGTCGGCCCTGGTGGCCAAGCGCCCCTCCGCCCTGGGCCCATTCCCCAGATACATCTGGATCCACCAGGATACACCCCAAGACAGCCTAGACAAGACTTGCCATGAAATCTGGAAGAGAGTTCAGGGCCTGCCGGAGGCCTTGCAGCCCAGGACCTCAAAGGAGCAGCTCTCTGCCACCGTGGCTGGGACTCCAGGAGACAGTGGGCTCAGCTTCCAAGAAGAGTGAGTGTCCCCCTGTTTGGTTGGCATCGAGGGAGGAGAGAGGAGATGAGGTCTCGCCTTCTGGGGTCATGTTCTGGCTCACTGTTTAGTCTGGTTAAACCCTAGAGGCTGTATGCTTTTCCTCCACCCCTATGGTCCTTTGTCCAATCTTTATAGGAAAGTTAACTGGGGTCCTGAAGTTACCTGGGTGAAGAGCCGGACCAGCTGTGTTTCTGCTGCCTCTTCGCCAGCCCACTAAGGGGATGCTTCTCGTCCTAAAGGCATAGGCAACTCAGATGTGGATCTGAGGACCTTGAAAAACTGCCCTAGTCGGGGCTGAGGGTTAGATGTTCCCGGCTTTCCCACGAGGCAACTAGAAGATCCAGCCCCCCTCCTACCTCTGAAGCCTAGGCATTGGCGCAGATGAGTCTGGTGGTTTTAAACCACATCTGGAATTCCCTAATACAGGGAGCAGCTGTCCCATTCAGCCTCCACAGAAACTGCTACAAGAGCACACATCAAAATATTTACTGGGAAGGCACTGACATATTCAGAGGACATAATAGAAAATTAACGTGCGGGAAGATGGCTGTAAATAGCCCGTTTTCTGGTTGGGAAATCCTGTGTCTGGGAAACACAGAGCTAAGTGTTTCTCCGCCGGGGCAAACTTGAACAGATATTGTTGGAGATGGATATTCACAAAGAGAGGAAGGAGGGACCTCATTAGGAAAAGCAGTAAATCCACTGTGGTTATTAATGCCACTGTTGAGCGCTTGTTCAATGCTTTGCATCTTCAAAGTAGGCTGCAAACATTAACTAATCCTCCTGGAGTCCTGTGAGGCAGGTATTAGTGTCCCCATTTTACAGATGGATTAAGTGTTAATAATTAAGTGGTAATTAAAGAATAAGTGATAATTAAGTGTTGCCTGTTCTCACACATGCTCCAACTCAGTTTGGAGATGCTCTGGAGTGGGGGAACCATTCAGGCAATTATCAGCTGCATCTGGTTCCAGAGAGTTCTACACGAGAGCCATGAAGACAGGCAGAGGGTAACTGCCACCCAGGTCTGTACTCCTGCTGTCCCTTTTCAGGCTCACTTACTTGCTGCAGATGAAGGTGGAAGCCACTCTGGCGGTTAATTGCCCCCCTTGCCCTGTGGCTCAGCATGACCTGGCTGAGATGGGAGTGGTCTGTCTGCAGCCATAATCCCACTGTCCAGCCTCCAGTAGCACTGAGCCTCTCTCCCCTGCCCATTGCCATCTTCTCTGGGACAGGGCCTTGGCAGGGGGCCCGTGGGGCTGTGCTCAGCTCCCAATGACCAAGGAGCTGATTGTCCACTTTGTGGACCAAGGGTCAGCGGCAATTTCCAGTAGATGGCACCCTCTCTGCCAGGTCACACTGAGTTAATGGAGACAGACTCTATTTCCAGTCTGCGCTTGGCTGAAAAGTGAACTGGCACACCTTTGGCCAGTTGCTTAACTCCATTTGGCCTTGATTTTTTCATCTACAAATTGAGGATTATATGCCCTGCCTTGTCCACCTCAGAGCTGATAATGAGGATCAAATGTGATGGGAAAAAGGGAGACAGGAAACAGAAAGCTGCATTATACAAATGAGGCAGCCCTTAAATGTAATTCTCAGAGTTCAGGGGTTTTTGTTGTTGTGGCTTCAGTCTGGGGGTTTCACACTATGCTCATAGACCCTAGGGTGCTTCAGGGGCCACCCTGGAGTCAAGTGGCTGGATCGCTGGGCTCAGATCCCCAGTTCAGCCCGAGCTGTTTGACTTTTATGGGTTTTACTTACTGGAGTTCTGATAAAGGCTGCGTCTGAAAAAAGGGTTTTGCTACTGAGAAAAGAGCTGGGAAACCACTGACTTAGTTGAATAAACAATATCATAATCGTGTAGATATCAACCAAGGAGAACACAATGAGCTATTCTTGAAATAAAGGCAGCTGCGATGGTGGAGTCAGATAACTCTGGTTTCAGATCGCATTTCAGCCCCGCGCCAGCTGCGGGTTTAATTTCTGCGAGCTTTAGTTTCCTCATCTGCCAAATGGAGATGATTACTAGGCATTTCACAGGGTTATTGGGATGATTAAATGGGATATTTAAACATTCCTGGTAATAACTAGGATTTGTAGAAATTCCTTGTAATATTGATGATGATGATTTCTTTAAGCCCTACAATTATTACATGAGTTAGCTACTATTTTAAACTCCTCCTCTTTCTACTTTTTATTATGCAAATTCAAATGCATAAAATAGAATAGTACGGTCCATGTCTATGTGTCTGTCACTGAGTTTCGTTAGTTACCAAGTTTGTGCCATTCTCGTTTCAATACCTCCCTCCCCCATTTTTAAATTAAATCCTTTTTACAGATGGTGGTTTAACTTTTTTGGTTTTTTTACAGGTTTGGAGGGGTTAATTTATTTGCCTGAAATCCTACAGTTAGGAAGTGGTGGGGTTTCAGAAAGCAAAACCATCTTAGCCACTATGCAATAGTGTTGGCTATCTTCCCCTAGAAACTGAGGCATCTTTTTGGATAGTCAAAATATTTGACGGTCCCGTGTTCTGAATGATCACACGTGGATAACAGATTTCAAATCCAGGGAGCTGTCCACTATATTTCTGGGATGCCTTCAGGCCCACAAGACACCTCTCAGCTAGCTTTTCCACTGTTTAATCTGTGGACCTGGTTTTGGTGATGTTTGCTGCTATCAGGGTGGCTAGATAAGTAAGTTCTAGAATTCTTGTCAGCTAGAAATTTTTCTTAACTCTGTCCCTAGATATGATAGAGACCTAGACATCTCAAGTTTGAAAGGGATCTTGGAGGCCATCTTCTGCTGCTTGAATCCCTTCCTCAACGTTCTTGCCAAGTGGTTAGCCACTTGCACACTCTTTTAGATGGGGAACTCACCGCTTCCTAAGGTGGCCCCTTGCCTTGCTTTGGACCCCGACTGTCAAAAGACCATTTTCTTCCTGTACTGAAATCTCTATCAAACAAATACCCATTAATCTGGACTCTGCCCTTAGGGCTCCAAACCGAATCTATCCCTTCTTTCTCTCAATAGCCCTTTAGATATTAAAAGATGGCAACAATATTCCTTCTCGGATTTCTTGTTTCTACAAGCTGAATACCTCTGGTTTTCTAAGTTTCCCCTCAGGTACAAGCTTGGTCAGTTTCCTGCCCACACTGCTGGGCCCTGTGGCAGTGCAACAACCAGAACCAAGTACAGAAATCCAGGTATGATCCAACTTGAGTATATTGGATCCTCCTTGTTTATGTTCTGTATTCATGGTAATGGAGAATCAACACCACATTCATTTTTCTCCCCAAGCTGACTTCACTCTATGGACATACTTTGAGGTCGTTCATTCATTCATCCAATTCATCAGTCAACAAATATTTATTAAGCATCTACTATGTGCCTGCACCATGCTAAGAGTTAGAGCTATGAACCAGATAAGCCCTCGTCTTCCTAGAACTTCTGTTCTAGTGGAGGAGAGAAACAGAAAAACAAGTAACTAAAAGACTATGAAAGCTTCAGAATGTGAAAAGAACTGGTATTCTAGTTGGAGGAAACCAGTAATAAGTTCACAAAAATAAACCAGATAACTTCAGAAAGCTACGAGTGCTCTGCTGGAAGTCAAAGCTAGAGTCCAAGGAGGGGTGTCTTTAGAGGGGTGATCAGAGAAGGTCTCTCTGAGAACAGGAGGGCATTTGAGTTGTGACCTGGATATCAAGAAGGAGCCAGTCAGGTGATGACCCAGGGGAAGGAGGTCCAGGCAGAGGGAGAGCAACTGACAAGATGCTGTGGGGGGAATGGGCTTGGAGGGGGGATGCGTGGCTGGGGTGCAGTGAGCGATGGGACTTGTGACAAGGTGGTATCAGAGGCTAGAAGGCCTGGAAGATCACTGTGGGGAGTCAGATTTGATTCTCCGTGGACTGGGACACCTGTGGAGGTTTTAGGAAGGAGATGCAATGTGATCACGTTCAGTAGTTCTTAAGGATCTCTCACACTGCTGTGTGTGCGTAGGTGTGTGAGAGAAGTTGGGAGCCTCCGGGCAGGTGCTGCAGTGTCCACGTGAGGCACGACGGTGGTAGTGGCCAGCTCAGTGTGGTGGCAGAGGAGATGGAAAAAGTGGGGGATGCGTTGTATATTTTGAGAGGAGCCAACAGACCTCTGAGGACATGGAGCACACAAACAGAGACATCAAGGCTGACTCCAGGATCCTGGCTTGAGCCATTGGTTGGATGGTGGTGCCATTTACCGAGGTGGAGAAGAAACGGGGGAAATGGGCTCTTAGGGAGAAATCAATAGTTCTGTCTAGCATCAATTAAACTCCAGAATCTTGTTCAGTTATCTTTTAATTAGTCTTAAATTTGGGATTAGAGAATTGTGGCAAGCTACTTACTGATTCATAGTCTAGGATTAGTTATTTGTTCTTTCCCCTTGTAGCTAAAACTTCAAAGCCTCAGAATGGAGACTTTGGATTTGCTATTGACTCTGTTCCCCTGACTGAGAAGTGGCATTTGTTCAGTCTTTCATTTGTGGGTTCACTCAACAAACACGCACAGTTGCCTTCCTGGTGTGGTGCCAGGCCCTGTGCTGGGTCCCAGGGATACAGACATAGGTAGGACAGAAGGCCTTCCCTCAAAGAGCTCCCAGTCTAGTGGGTGAGATGGACACAGATACGATGGACAGCAATGACGTTCAACAAATGTTTATTGTGCACCTATTGCATGCCAGACAAAGTGTGAAAATGATACAATAGTGTAAAAGATGGGGACAGTCATTGACCTTCTTCATGGACCTTCAGTGTCTTGAGAAAGGCAGATCACAATGTATTATGATAAATGTTCTAATGAAGAAGTCCCAGTGCCGTGGGAGCACACTGAGGCAACACATGACCTGGGCTTGGGGCTCAGGAAGATTTCCTGGAGGAGGCTGGGAGAAGCAAGCTGGAAGGTCAAGAGATGAGACCCCCCACGCTTGAGTGTCATGAAAGACAGGGATA